CAAAGAATAATGTGTGCAGTGATATTATGTTTATGTGTTGTTAATACGACAAGTTTGTTTGGTGGTTAAATATAATGTATAATAATATAATGTTATAAGAATAGTGAAGACTTAAATGTATAATAATATTACCGGTGGTACCTACGCGTTTCTCCACTTGAGGTGACCTTGACCTTAGAGTGTTTAACTCGATTAGAATGTTATCGAGACCAGATGAGTGGCGCGTTGAGATTGTATTTTACTATTGTAACATTATATTATATTATATTACTATTTATTTATTGAAATGCGACGTGACTTAACTATTACTTATCCAATACTATTCAGCCGTTTAAAGGTCCCCAATGAAACCTATCGTTCAGCTTGTGTGCAACAATAATCACCGGGAATTTACGATTTAATGGGTTTATACAAGTGTTTTTTTTTTACCTCGATGATAAGCAAAAATTTGACCGGTTTCCTTTAAAATTTCAGTGTGTTCTACTTTCGATTTTGAAACCATATTTTTAGTCATGCAAAGAATTTTGTAATACCTTAATGAGTCATGATGGTGGTACCTACTATTTTATATGTAAGAACAAAACGCAAAGTGCTAAACAAATTCTAAAAGAACGCATGTCGTTGTTTTAATTAGGCTGTTTTAAGAATATTTTCTTACAAATAGAATTTAGGAGTCCAAAAAAAAGTTTTTCGCTATCGCAATAGTTACCTATTTTTTTAATACATATTTTAGTGTTAACATTTTTGGAATTGTGATAGGTTGGCTGTTTAAAAGTTGATTTAACTATTAATTGTAAAAATTGCTGTTTTTGTTCATTGATCTTCATATTAATTAATTCTACGGACGTGCCTTTGGTCAAGGTGACCTAATGTCACTTTGAGTTACTTTTGTAAAATGAGCACACGAGCCTTAGTTTTAAATTAATCAATAATGTATTGAGCCAATGGAAATGAACCTTTCTTTTAAATAATAAATGTGGTATGTATTTCGGACAAGGTTAACAATATAAATACTCATATTTGAGTGGAATTTAATGGTTTTAGTAACGTGTTTACGTTTTGTAATTGCAAAGATACTAAGAAACGGTACTGTACGCATTAATATTTTGTTGCATTTATCCAACCTTTTTTTTGGCGTTAATAACCATTCAAAATTGTCTAATGATAAAACAAATTTGATGCTCGTTTTCGATTTAGTTACAATAATTTTTTTGTTATTAAGAAATTTCTGCTGCGCCTTTCAGTTTTCACGGAACGTGGCAGTTTTACAAACGAAAAATAAATGATCGGCATAATTTCGTTATCTCGTTATTTCGAGATGATCTCGGTGGAGTGTACTGTTTTAGGTGTTTACACACACACGGTGACCTCTTGAGTCACATTTTAAGATTTCTCAAAGCATGACACACGGGGTGCGTCAGACGTATAGAAAATATATTTTTTTTTTTTTAGTAGGACGATCTGTTGTTGTTTTGGCTGCAAAGAATTGGCCTTTAATTTTTTTTTATTTATACTGTTTTGTGGGACGGTCAAGACGGTTTTTTCTCCTTTTGTATCTTTTCGGTGCGCTTGGGTAATATTATATTGTGACGTTATTCCGCATACCAAGCAGTGACCCCAGGCGACGACGGCGGTGTATGTATAGAAAAACCGAAAACGTATTCTTACCAGCACCGTTTGGGTCTCAAGGTCAACTCACAATATCGCCCCTAATTCTCTCGTTCGTCCCCGATTTCTTTTTTTTTTTTTTCAGCTTGCCTCACCGTCGTGTCTTCCAATAACAATGAAGTACACACATCCCTCGACGTAAACGATTATTGAAATAACGCGTCCACGGTAGTTTGTACGCATAGATTGAATATAATATAATATTGTATAATTTTAATCTTTTCGAAAATACTTCTTAACTACTCATCGATTATATGTAGTTAATCGCCGTCACCGATATTATGTTTTCCAAAAACTCGATGAGACAACAACGCCATACGTTCTCATACTAGTTTAGTTAAGAGGGCGTCGCACCGGTGATTTTCAGTGGTAAAAACATGTTTAAGCAGACTGAAAATAACTCGCTTAATTTCGGTTTTAGAGTAAAAGCACCCGTTATTAAATAAAAAGAAAATAATATTCCGGAGGGCAAGACGGTGCGTTTTTAAAAAAAAATTAATTTTTTGGAAAGTTACAGTAATTTAAAAATGTTAAAATAGTCGTTATTTCTAAACTATGTATTGAGCGTTATACTAAGAATAATGAAAAAAACGCGCCGTCTTGCCCTCCGAAATATTGTTCTTTTTTAATGTTATAATAGGCGCTTTTACTCTAAATCCAAAATTAAGCGAGTTATTTTCAGTCTGCTTAAACAAGTTGAGATGAAAAAACATTTTTAAATCGCTTTTAATGATGCTGTGATAGTCCAAAAAATAAATTAACTACCAAAGTAGAGTCCTAGTTATTAAACTAATAATTACACATCACAGTTTAACCTTTAAATTAAGATTTTGTAAAAAAAATGCCTATACTTAACTCCATAAAAATGGGCGGTGCGACGCCCTCTTAAGTAAACGTCATCTGAGTAACTTATCTGAAATAAATTCTAAAACATAATATACTTCGTTCGGAGAAAACTATTATTTTTCCTAACGATTATTGTACCTTGAGTTGCATTTTAACGACGTAAGGTCCTATTAAGGTTGTCCGTTACAATGTTTCGGACAAGTTTATAACATGTTTTTAATCGATGCATAATGTATTTCCTTTGTTAGGTTAGGCTAGCTTCGATTCGTAATTATCCAACTGTAATGATATTATGTTCATTAAGTAAATTTGCAAAATATCTCTTACCTGCTAATGGTTCTACTACTACTATCATAGTAATTACTGGTAATTTGGGTTCAGAACCCTGGAAAATTCTTATTTTCATAAAATCGGTTTTAATGGGAACGGAACGGGGTATTAAATATATTAAGGCACACGTCATAAGCATCAGTTGTCCCCTAAACTGATCTATATAAGCCATTTTATTATTATACTAAATAATTTAATTTTTTTGTTTGAGTTACGATCAATCCATTATTTCCTTCCCAGCAAGTTGTATTATATAACATTTTTCAAAAAAAGTACCATTTAGTCGAATATTATTTGCAGAGGATAACATTTTAGTCGACTAATTTCAGTTAACTTGTTGTGCTTTTTAATGGAATAATATTTTTAAAAAATCGAGTACAACAATGTTGAGTTCCGTATGCTTAATGACTTAATAAAAAATAAATGTACAATTATATAGAGAATTATTTAAGTTTAAAAGGTAAAAACCTTTTAAAATGTTGATTTAGACTTGATAGTAGTCATAATCCACTTTGCCAATTTAGGGTTCATATTTTCAATCTGCATGTGTTTTTAACTACACAGTGTGGTCATTGATCGACATCGCAAAAGGTATAATATTTTCAAACCGGTTTGTTATGTAGTTTGTTAGTAGGTACCCATTAAAATCGAATTACCGGTTATTGAAATCGGAAACAATTTAAGGAAAAGCAAAACAAAATTCCATTCCAGTCTCACGCATAATTGTATGGTAGCCATTGTGTTGACATAATCGGCGATAATAAAAAAAAAAATGATATAGGAGCCATTTATTATTTGGATAAGATTATTTTTTGAAATCTTAGTATTTTCTTTTTATGTTTTACCGAAAAAAACATTGGTTACTATTCACCATTTATTTCGAAGAATCGCTTTATTTTCATGAAAAATTATCAGCCCTTTTTTTTTTTGCTGTATGTTATTTTTATGCATAACATTTATTAGCTGTAATAAATAAAAAATTGCAATTGGGGTTAAATAACGACTTATAGTTAGTTTAATATTTACTAACATTTCTATTAATTAAAATACTGCTGGTTACTTAATTGTTGTCTTTATAATATATACACAATTTAGGTATTTTGTAAAGTAAAATCGCGTACAAAACTTGTATGCCAGTTATTTACGTTAATGTGTTAGTAATGATTTATGAATTTGTATGCAATATGAGATAATACACCTATGTCCAGTGAAAACTCGAGAAATGGTGAAGATGGACTTATTTGAATGATAACATAACAGGCCAGTCACGCCACTTTACACGCCCTGATAAGTTTTTCGTTATTGCATCATCGTCTATAATGTATACGTTAATCAATTATCAATCAGTATACAATTCTCGAAGAACAATCATGAGGTCGATTTACGATTGTTATAATTGTTGTTATTGTATTCTAATTTCTATTGATCTGGCGGGGTCCGCCCGACGCTTTTCAATGATGTAGATGTACTCTAACAGCGTTTTTGGCCGATCTCTGATGAAGTCCGATGTCAATGCGTGTTATAGCGTGTAGTAAAATATATATATTAATTTATGATTTATCATCGCGGACCGTAGATAGAATAATATGAATAGGTACATCAGCTATTTCATGATAATATATGCACGCCACTATTATTTTGGGCGTTGCCGGTCTGGTCACACTATGGCGGTGCCCCTTTATCATTGATGGGAAAACGCGTTAGTACTGGCGACACTGTAACTGTCGTCAACTAGCCACACTGTCTATTTATTTCAAAGCATACCGATTCGACGAACCAATTGACGATAACACGTTTAATCAAATGTTTCTAGAAAATTATCAAAAAAAATAATAGGTTGTAGAAAAAATTGTCTATAAAAAAAAAAAAAAAAAGTAAAAATTACGTAGTAAAAAAATTTACCAGGTTGTAATGTGTTATGTATAGGGTTGTCGATTGTAAGTTTTCGACGCTTGATTTACTCATACACATAAAATGCACGAAGGATATTGTGTATGTTAGCCCGTTATTATTACACACAGTCTTGGACGTTTCGCAAGAATGTCACAGATTAATGGTATTTTATTTTTCTAAGCATGCGTTTATCTCCAATAATATGGTATACGCATGATTTTCAGTAATAATTTCATATTTATTGAATATTTTTTTTTCCGCAGTGCTAACAAGATAGTGATCAGCAACGTGCCCAGCAGCGTTCGAGGTGAACAGTTGGAACAGATATTATTGCAGTTCGGCCAAGTAAAAGACATTGAAAAACTCAGTCAGCGCGATGGGCCCACACAAGTCATACAAATTACATTCGAGTCTGCCGAACAAGCTCTTAAGTAAGATCTGATAACACACGACTAATATTTCTTGCTAAAATATCCCGGAACGTATTTACCGCTAATGTGTTTTTGTTTTTCTTATTTTATAGGTTGTTATTTAATAAACTGTCGTTATAAAATCAGGGCGAATTATGTGCTTCACTCTGTTAGCTATAAATTGAACTAATAATATAAATGAGTTAAATACAAGTTAATGTCCGAAAATTAAAATTCTTCTAAAATTGATTTGCAATTATTAATCCACTTTTTGCGTAGCATTTGTGTATTCTTAATTTTTTTAGTTCCTCAAAGGGTTAAATGTGTATTATCATTGAATAATCATAAAACTTGCTCTTCTACATGTCTGTACAAAGTTGATACCTATAATTTATTATATAAACATATATCACATCATTTCGAGTTGAAGTTCACAGTTTTTATTCTGTTATATTTACGTGTCCTTTATTTTTATTTCCAGTGCATTAGCTAATTTGCCAGGTTTTGAACTCGAAGGCTGCCAAGTTAAAGTCGAACCAGCCATGGAAAGACGAGGTCGTGGTACAATGAGACCACGCCATGTCCCATTTGGTGCACCAGGAAGTAGTCCGGGTATTGGCAATAGACAAACTGAGTTTCCATTGCGTATATTGGTGCACAGTGATATGGTTGGTGCGATAATTGGCAGAGGAGGTTCTACTATTCGACAAATTACTCAACAAACTAGAGCTAGGTAACAATATAGTTGCTAATTTATCAATTAATAATCTATAACAAAACACTTGACAATCATTATTATTTTTAGAGTCGATGTGCATAGAAAAGATAATGTTGGTTCTTTGGAAAAAGCGATTACAATTTATGGAAATCCAGAAAACTGTACGAATGCATGTCGAAAAATTTTGGAAGTTATGCAACAGGAAGCTAATAATACTAATAAAGGGTAATTATAAATTTTTCAATTTTATACATACATATAAGTTTAAAAATTAAATATACAGAAAATGTATATTGAGATATACTTAAAGTTAATTACTAATAAAAGTCTGTGTAGTTGTTAGAATGTAAGTGTTCTTCATTCTTTATTATTAAATAATTAAATTTTAAATTGTTATATTGATCTGTAAAATATCGGCCAATAATATATGAAAACCAACACAATTTATTTTAACACGGCACTTCAGTATCGTGCTTATCCAAGCTAGAGTGTTGGAAAATTGAAACGTACCAGTTAGTGTAAGGAGAGTATTGTTGTATACAGTATGAATAATTCTGCAAAAAATTTAAATTTATGTTACTATGCAATGCAATGAGTTTAAGTGGATTAACGTGGCTGTGCTTCTATATACTAGTCTCAGTTTGAAACTTGGTCTTGTACCAAGGTATGGAAGACAACGGAAAACATTGCACTATATGTCTTGTTTTTAACACAATTCTTGTTTAGCAATAAGAGTTGTTAATAAAACTTAAGCCACGCCCACACTGCCGCGCAATACGCTAGCAAACATGTTTTCCAAAATATTGGGTACTCTGTGGTAAACATCAAACACCAATGAAATGTTCGTGGGAACGTACTTGTCCACCCGAACAAAAATTGCCAACGTTTTGTGTGGCTTTTAGTAGGTATAACCAAATAAATTTGATGTAAAAAAAACATGGTCACACAATCTGTTTTTATAGACGTTTAAGTAGAAGTATTATTAGCAGAAACACTTATTACCAAAATGGTAAAAATACAATTTATTTGGCGTATGTTGGTGGATTTTAGCAACGTTAGTATTAAAACTTTTTTAAAAAAATATATATAAAAAGTATGTTTTATGATATATTTTGTAATAATTTGATAAAAAAAATGAATTACCTATATTAAATATTCATTGCTAGCCTAAAAAATGTACGCTTAAGTTATAACTTAAAATTAATATTTTGTAAAATATTTCATATACCAAACTCTTTAACAAGTAGGGGTATAGTACTGAAAAAAAATGACTCCAATAATATGATATGTATTTATTTTCACAGAGACGTTATTCTCAAAATCTTAGCTCACAATAATCTGATTGGCAGAATAATCGGAAAAGAGGGTAACACGATCAAAAGAATTATGTCCGAGACTGAAACAAAAATTACTGTATCCAGGTAAATAGAATGCATATGTTACGTTGATAAAGTATATTATCCTTTTTTTATATTATTTTTTAAGCATAAACGATATTAACAGTTTCAACTATGAAAGAATAATAACTGTCAAAGGCTCAATAGAAAATATGTCCAAAGCTGAAGCCCAAATTAGTGCTAAGTTAAGACAAAGCTTTGAAAATGATCTGCAATCTATGGCTGTAAGTTTTTTGTCATGATTATTTGAGTGACTTTTATTAATTGTCATCGAAAAATATCTTTATTGAAATTATAAATTATTTTACTATTCGTAGCCACAAACAGTCATGTTCCCTGGACTTCATCCAATGGCCATGATGTCAGCAACAGGTATAACTTATCCAGGCCGCGGTGGTCCAGCCAGTTATCAACCATTTGCTCCCGCACCATATCCTCCAATATACCCATCTACCATTCCGCCAATCAACCCGGCTCTCGCTGCAGATGCCCAGGTACAGTACATCAAAAATATAATTATAATTGAAGGTAATGCTATCCTGATTGCAATATATATATATTATATATATTGTTTTCATTTTCAGGAAACCGCTTTCTTGTTCATTCCCAACAGTGCTGTTGGTGCTATAATAGGTACTAAGGGTTCGAACATCAGAAGTATGATAAGATTCAGTGGAGCGTCTGTTAAAGTAGCGTCTACGGAAAATGAAAAACCTGGAACTCCAGTTGACGCAAATGGTGCGCAACAATCTAGTAGAAAAGTGACAATTGTCGGTACAGCAGAAGCTCAGTGGAAAGCTCAAGGCATGATTTTCGACAAGCTGCGAGATGAAGGTTTTGTTCCGGGAACTGAAGAAGTACGATTAACTGTAGAAATATTGGTGCCAAGCAGTCAAGTAGGTCGTATTATTGGTCGAGGCGGATCAAATGTTCGAGAATTGCAAAGAGTCACCGGGTCTATTATCAAATTGCCTACCCAAGGATCAACAGATGGCACTGAAGATACAACGACTGTGCACATTATTGGCCACTTTTTGGCGACACAGGTATTTCGCATTAATAGTTATGTTAAACTATATTTAATTAATTTGTGTTATATGGGGCAAAATTTAAATCTAATAACAAATAATTTTTCATTGGCAAATCATTTTATTTATAACTTGATGTATAATGTTTTCTTGAAAAAAATAATAAATAAAAAATATTTTAGGGGCTCTACACCTGCATATTTTTGATCGAGAACAACTGTAATTTCAACTATACTCTAAAACCCAATGGTTTTGAAAACAGATATAGGTTTTACTATACTTGCTTGATATATTAATCAAAGTTAATTTTTAATTTTCTATTTTAATGTTATTGTAAAAATATTTAAAAATAGCAATTTTTTCCATAGACAATATTAATTTTCTAAAATAATTTTAAAGTTGTGCCATGATGGATACCTTGTAAATGATTTCTCAGATTACATTTGAAAATGTAAGCTTACTGTTAAATTTTAGTTAAAAATTGTCATTACAATGCGTCTTAATTAAATGCTAGTGTAGAGTTCCCTTAATTATTGGTTATTCTAAATAAAATAAATCAACTTATTTATTATCTTAGATAATTTAAAATTTTATGTATTATTTATAAATGTATAGAAAATCATTATCAAACAAGTAATTTATAAAATATTAATAGTTATGTAAAATTAATTATATAAAATAACTCGTTTTTTTTTATCTCTCCATATAAATAACAAATTATATGAATTAATACCCCCCAAATCATATGTGGTGCAATTTTTTAATTATGTGTTATTAAATATTTTTAGTCGGCTCAAAGAAGAATTCGATCAATGGTTGCGACCGGAGCTAATCCAGCTCCGCGTCCGACACGTAACAGCAGACCTACAGAAACACCACAGCAGTGAGTTAATGACATTGTCCGTTAGTCCTCGGTGAATAAATCTCCTCCACCGACATTAACGTTATTATAACCAAATTTTAATATAGAAAATAATGGTCAATCATAAGATGCATTATTGTTGTCGGTTTATTAGCCAATAGGATCTAACGGCTGTCTTAACTCAATTACTTTTAATAGCTACTGTTGACTTAATGGTCAAAGGAGGGGATGTGACTGATTGCGTGACCAAGAGTACAAACGGTTGTCAGCTATGGCAAGGTACGATTTTTGTCCCTTCCTATATGTAATACAATCGACTCTTTTTATACATGATTAAAGTTAGGGATTTTTTTTTTTTTTAATGAATAAAGAGGGAGACAAAACTTTGAAAAAATACTTTTTTTTTTCTTAAATTTATTTTTGATAAATTGTTAAAAGTTATTTAATTTTTAATTTATTATTTTTTTTGTTATTTTTTTTTTATATTTAAAAAGTATATATTATATATATATTTATATATTTATAAAAATTTTATAAAAAAAATTAATAACTATGTTAGGATGTGGCCCTCTGTTCCCAGGGGGGGTTACATAGAAAAATGGAGATACTAAATTTAAATTATAATAAGAACACCCCTCAAAATTAATATCAAATCAAACTATCATTCTTACTTAATATACATCTCCCAAAAAAATTAATATTTAAATACAACGCAATCAATTAAACCATTTTTTTTTTTTAATACTCTTCTAGGTTTAAACATTTAACCTTGCATATACAATTAGCGATAATCCATCCATCCCCCACTTAAATATAAAACGATGCCACAGTAGCATTTTAATAAAATGGACTAGTAGGAGGTCTAGTTCATCAAATATTTGTTATTTTATATCTAAAAAATATATATATATATATATATTATATATATTACATACATACATACATACATACATACAAACAAACAAAATGTAATTGTTGACACTTAAAAGGTGGTCTTCAGCCTCTTGTTCTAGACACAGAAACACGTTTATATAAACACATACATAAAAAATACTCGCTAACACATTCTCAATTTGTAATGGGCATTATTTACATTAATTGTTTACAATATTGTAATTCAACTTAACTGTCTGTGACTCTTAATCATTGTGATCCACACCAATAGGATAATAAGAATGTTTTTAACTCAAAAACACTGCGCAATAGTTTATTATTTTGTTATATTAGCATTATTAATTTAATTACATATTAGAACAAGAACGCTCTTAGACTAAGCAACATCCCCAATGCGTAATAACCAAAGATTCTTAATACAGTGCACTGGTTAACTGGGGGATAACTAAACATACTTACAATTTTTATTTTTCCAATATTTGTTTACAATCATAATATCGTGTGAAACACTAAATTAGATTATTACTATTAACGCAAATACATGGGCATTTAATATGTAAAAAAATAATACAAAAGATACGTGGATTCAGTGGTAATAATTTTGATTCTACATACTCATTATTGATAAATATAATATATACATATTAATATTATTGGTAATTATTTTCTCATTTAAAAAAAAGTTTGTATAACCCTAGTAGTTGTGGCAATCTAAACCTATGATACTAAGTAGTTAACGATAATACTAATAACGTACAATCGATATAATACAAATTGAGTTTAATTATTAATAAATTATCACTAAATCCACTAATCCAAATTCGTGAAATTTATTTTACATGTTAAAAAATTTAATTGGATTATTCAATATTTATGTGTATTTTTACAATTATATTATTATAACACCATTTATTATTTGAATTTTTTTTTGTTAAAATGAAATTAAAAATAAATTCATAACATTTATTTTTCTTTAACAATACAATATGATAAAATTATATAACTTATAGTGCTCGTCTTTTTAGTTTTATTTTTATTATTTATTATTATTATATTTTTGAGTGCTTCAATATTTTTTATTATAGTTAATATCATTTTTGGGCTTTTACTTTGATGAAAATATGTAATAATAATTACTATTTTTTATGACAAGAATGCTTATACATAATTTTTTTTTAATTTTATGTTTCATTAATATGTATATCTATTTATTTTTAAAGCTTTTACTTGTTCCATTTAGAGTTTTAACTAAATCATATTAACCTGGGTGCCCAAAACGTAATAAATTAATGTTTCATAGTTGTCGTTATTATGGCAAACAATTATGTAATGTTTTTGGCCGATTATTCTTTGTAAAATGAAAGTAGCTTAGAACGTCATTTATGGATCTAGTATTGAAATCCTTTCTTATCCTTAAGTTATTGAAATATCCGACCTTCAGTTGGTTTATATATTGTAATGAAATATGGTTGTGATGTTTCTTTAATTTTTAGTTTTCTTTTAACTTGACCATAGAAATTTTCAACAGTTTCTGAAAGTTGTGTTTAAAGAACTTAAAATTCGTTCAAGTCATGCAAAGAAAATAAAAAGCAAAAAAAAAACAAAAATCCAAAAAAAAGTTTAATAACCAATATATCATAATATACCTATTACCTATTAATAATATTTTATAGACACCCGTAAGCCATAAATAAAATTAACACAAAATTTAGGATTATATAATATTACATAATATAGTAAATTATTGTATGCTTTATGATTTATTTCTTAAAAAATTAAAACAAAACTTAATTCAAAATTTATCATAGAATAGTTTGGTGAAAGGGTTAGTAAAAATTTTTTTTTAACTACGAGTAATAATTTATGAACTATAAATATATAAATATTTCCATAACACCACTGGTAGGTAAGCCGACTGTAAGAAGTAATAAAAAAATTAAATAAGTATATGAAATAGTAAAATGGAACACCGAGAAGAGCTCAAGTAAACGCAGGGGAAAATAACCATGACAGCCTCACCCGGACCCGATAGGAGCATAATAATATTATTTTGATGGTTATTAATTTTTTTTAATTTGGGGGATGCCGTTAGGGTTTTTTTTTCTACAATCTGTCCATCAGCCGTCGAGTGCAGCATTTTTCCAATGTGTCGTTTGTAATAGAATATTATATTTAATATCTGTGCATGCATGCAGTCAGGACTAAGATAATTATTTACGTACATTGCATTTTGTATTCATTATTATTATATAAATATTTATATATATATGTATCGGAGATATATTATTATGTATTCAGTTATCTTGTTCTTGTTTAATTTTGACGACGTTCCGCGCTGTTAATTAGTTTTGTATACAAACGTGCATTTTATTATAATACGTGTATAAGTGTCCAGTGTTTGTAAACGCTGTGTTACAGTCTCCTTTTTCTACCATGGGAAAAAATTAAATTATTCTAGTTATATATTTAAAAAAAAAAAAAAAAATAAAAAAACAAATGAAATAATAAATACGTTATTGTGTATTTTTATTTTTTCCTTGTCTAAATAATAGTATCTAACTGTACTTAAGAAGATGTTATAGTACCCCATATTTATTAGGAAGTTGGATATAGGTAATTTTTTGTAAAATCTTAATTTAAATGTCAAACTTTGGTGTGTAATTAGTTCAGTAATTATAATTTTTTTCGGTAGTTAATTTATTTTTGAACTACTACACCATTGGTGACTATCAACTATTATAAAATCGAAAGAACAACATTTCCAAGACAAAGTCATATCTGATTTCGAAAACAATAACTTAAAAAAAAGTTACAGTTATTTTAAAAAGTAAAAAAAATGTGATTTTAAATGCTATATAAATTAAATATTAGGTTTATCAAACAAATATAATGACATTGTCTTCAAAATCTTGTGATCTTTCGTTATAGGCATATATTGTATAATGTACATAGTGCAGACATCCAAAAGAATCCTTCAGGAGCAGGTTACAGTGTTATATAATAATAATAATACATTTAATACTATCACAGATAGTGTAAGCTGTACACATTTTTGTTAATTTACCCCCAATCTATAGTAGCCTATTTAATTTTAAAAAATTTCAGATTTCCTAGCTTAACTGAGTATTTTCTCATTCATTCATTTTTTTTGCATTTGCTTAACATGAAAACTAATCAAAATTGTTTTAATTTGAATAAAAGATTCTTAAAGCGAATATATGAAACTTAAAAATTTTTCTGTTGATATATTTCCGTGATGACATTTTTTTTAGCAAGTTACAGCCCAATTGAAACTGATAACTTGCTAAAAAAAAAATGTTATCACGAAATATCAAATGAAAGTTTTTCAAGTGTCTTATAGCTTCAAGAATATTTTTGCAAATCGAAAAAATGTTGATTAGTTTTCAAGTTATAATTTATTTAATGAAATATTAAAATTTCTCGTGTTAAAAATACATAAAAAAAAATCATGAAGTAGGTACTAGTACTTAACAGTTGATCTAGGAATATGAAATTTTAGAGATTACTTACTTGAATATATGCTAATATTGGGTAAAAAACAGTGATATATGTTTGATGAATAGGTAGTTTTGTATTAGTTAACACAACATAATATATTATGTGTGTTATTATTACCTATTTTTTTAATTATTTGTGAGCCCCACACGTTCTACCAATTGCCATTAGCTATGGACAATAATCATTTACAGAAGTGCAGATAATCCAGAATTGGCGATTTAATAATAATATACAGTTTAGACGATTTCAATTGTGTCTAGGTACCTATGTATACTTTATTTAATTTTAAACATTATAGAAGGAGGATGTCGTGTGTGTCTACTACTCTTTCTCCAGAAGGGGCCCCGCGATTATGTTGTACATAAAACCGATTTAGCTTTGAGGATTATTTTTAAAATTTATTAGAAGTTAACAAGGACTCGACAAGTGGATGTGTAGTGTATGGTTTTAGTTGATCCCCGGCAGTTCAAAAGAGAGTGTATCAAATGAATATTTGATTATGTTTATAATATTGGCCCTCTTACACATGGGCATTCGTCGAATGAATTGTTAACGCGGTGGTGTATGCGAGAATTTCATTTTTAGACTTTACCGTCCACACGGCATTTGATCTACAGGGATTTATATTTTATATTTGGTCAAATCAATTTCGCTGTCGCCACAGATGGACGTCATGGGTTTTGATTAGGCGCTAATATTTTATTTTTAGAGAATTATTTAAAAAAATATGTTTTAACTATTTATTTATGATATACAACATTAGGGCTCTGTAGTGAATAAACACTATCACTAAAGTTCTGTAACTCTTCATTGTACTTCTAGATGCCAAGGTGATTGTAATAAGGCCATAAACAACAGAATCCGTTTATCGGCTTAGGAGATCTGCGAGTGGAAAGAAAAATAGATTTAACAATTATTTTAATTGTAAAAAACTTCAATTAACTTTTTTTTAAATTCATATTTTGTATAATCAAGCTCTTTCTAGTTAGTTTGAAATCAACTTTATATTTCTTATAGTTAAGATAAAATTGGAAATATTTGCCTTATATTTGCCTTTGTCTATTATTGCTCTTTAACCTAATTCTTCAGCATTAAATCAAAAATTTGTTAGCAAATTACAGATTCTGCAAAAGGGAAAAATATGCGGTAGTTGTTTACTTTTCTTTCCATCTATCACAAATGGTTAAAACTTGAAATTGGCCGCTAATGCGTACAGACTCGTTAAAGCATAACTCGACGCATTCTTTTAAAAGACTTCAGCTCTTGAGTTCGAAAATAATGTTTTTGCAGGTAGTCGCCGAGTCCATTAGGCGTCAGCCCCGCCTCTTGCTCGAGTTTTAAAAAAAAGTTCAGAATGAAAGTACTATTTCGGTTGAATTATGCTAAGGAATAAGAGCTTTTCGACTGAAATGCGAACAAACCCTAATTAACAACAGTACCCTCGTGTAATGTTATTTTTATACCCGAAAATATGATTTTATAAATTATGATAAGATTAGAATATATTATATTATTATAGTTTCCTCTTGAAAAGAAAAATTTATCCGATACCACTATGGTACGCGGGCAAAGTGAGAAAGAGGCTTTGTGCGCAATGCAGTAATTTAGTTGGCCAAGAAAGAAATTTCACATTGCCCAAATTGTTATGGTTTATACTAAGGACGGACTTGGGTACATGGAGACATGGGACTTCGGTTAGCTGAAAGACTGTATTGTTGAGAATGAAGTCAAACTGGCACCAAGTTTAGAATACAAATATTGTAGTTAATCATTTTAAGAATAGTGCATAGGTAATTTCGTCAACAAAGAAAACCCCGTAAAAAACAATTAATAATATTATAATTTGCTGGTTGGTCGGTCTGATGCTTTTATATAGGAAAAACAATATTCGTTATATTTTTATAATCCGCCCCTAAAAAGTACCTAACAACCAAACAGGGTCCTTATAATTTCATAATAAAATAAGGGGTATTGATGTAATGGTAAAATTGGTGTGGTGGCTCAAGTTTGGGACGTGTTACGGAAAAATTTTACATTTTACTTTTAAACTAATCGAATATTTTTTTATTCAGATAAAGTGGTTATTTAGGTATATGTGTTTTTACTTTTTATATACTTGAAACGTATCGTTCCATTGTTCCACGAAAGGATTACTCGCATGTTTAAAAAATGTATATAATATGTGAAAACAGACTCGACTATTTAGGAAAACAACAATAGTTAACATGTTATTATAGACGAACAATTTTTTCTAGTTAAAAAGTAAAATGCAAAAAAGCACTTAATTTATAATTCATTAGGATTATATCCGTAGATAGTTACTGTGGGTATAACACATTTTTAGATTTTTTTAACATTGGCAGGAGGACGAATACTAAATAGGTCTTTTGAGTAGTTTACATTTAATTTTTTTTTTTTAATTACAGTTGTTTTTTTACCAGTAAGAAATTACTTGGTTTAGGCAAACAGTAGTGGGCATGCGAAGAAGACTCGTGGATATCTTTCAAATCAAGTACAAATATTGTCAAATGTGCTGCTAGTTGTAACTGATGTTTCCGACGGTGGCCGAATAAAAGATAGTTTAAAATGTAAACGTGACCAGTGGCATATGTTTTTTTTTTTGTGGCAACTTTTTGACACACTAACGAACCGTTAATTAATTTTAATGGAGTGTATCCAAGTTTCGCACAAGACCACAAGACTGCAACAGCTACTCGCGTAAGCCAAGCAATTTTAATAACAATAATGGCGTCTTAGTGCGAGCGTTCTGCATGCGCAGTCAGTGAAGAACATACATATAACTACCCATACATGTCCGGAAAAATAGCAGTTAAGAGAAAAATCCAATTTCATAAAAAGCATTCAGGCACCGAAATGTATATGTTTCCGGTGTTGGGTAAGAATTAAAAAATGCCGTTTTTCGTTTAAAATAATTGGCATTTTTATTTTCGCGCGTTGTTTTTACTTTTGTGGAAAAAAAAAAAACAAAAGTATTGTCTTAATCTCTCTCTTTATCGTTTTTCTTTTGCTATGCCACACTTACCTATAACTCGGTCGACACGGTGACTTCGACCGCACACACCATAATACTATTTACTAATCTACAGTGCAACAAGTCTACCGCGTTAACGGCGTTTTGTAAGGATACCTTTTACTGCGGATCGACCAAAATGATTAATATTATTTTGACGGGTCGACTTTAATACATAAACTTCCGTCGGATCATGGGTGTATTATGTGCTAGTGAAAAATTAAAATAACCCGTCCGGCGCGGCATCCAAGTAGGGTCAGCAGTCGCCGAAAAGCTTCCGGATATTATTTTCTAGCTCACGTTTTATAAGTCTTCCGGTCAGTGTTATTAGTACACCGCAACGATGATCTCGTATGGTGGTGGTTTTTGACGAGCCCTGGCGCTACTCTGGGTATGTCAGATATAGGCCACTGGGATCAGTAGAAGAGAGAGAGAAAAAAAAGTAATTTGACAAAATCCTTTGCTGCAGACGAATAAAGCTTAGCACGGATTGTGGAACGCAATCCGCCGTGATACCGTATCGTTACCCACCGCAGCGGCATCGGCTGGTTTGCTAAATTATAAAACTGATCAGTTCAATCCGTTGGGGATTCTGTGAAAACTTTGTAAGGCTACACTGAGTGACCGTTTTAAAAGAGGATAGGTGTATCGTCTACCTTGTATACATCCATCAACTATATATTGTAAATTTGTTAAAAATAATAAATAAAAAGTACCGTATAGTAATCATGGTTATTATTCTTGTTT